CACTTCCTTTAGCAGCTATTTCCCTAACTACTAGAAATTTCGATATAAAACGTATTTCAATAGACAGAGGAACACGTGTCCTTTCGGATGACAACAAGATTACAATTTTTAGATAATTCTCAGATCTTTTATGCTCGATTATATAAAGCATTCACTGTGCGGAAACAGGACCGGTATAGCGCAGACAAAGCCAGAATTCCGCAAAAATAGGAGGCCGTTGGACAAGAACTCACACTTCTTTTGGCAGCTATTTCCCTAACTACTGCAAATATGGATATAAAACTTATATGAATAGATAGGGGAACATGTGCCCTTCCAAATGACACCAAGATTGCCAGATTAATTTTTAGACCTTTTATGCTCGAATATATGAAACATTGTTGGAATACATCGGAATGCAACGAATGCAGTAGGGTCAAATATGTACGAATTTCCAAAGTTAAGGGTAGGGCTACGAAAAGACTCAATACCAGTGTAACTAAACATCCAGATTTCAAAAAATCTGCACAATTTGAGTCTTGGACTTTTGAGTAATTGATTTCTCTTAACAAGTTTGATACTTTGACCTCTACTTATGTTGGAATTCAGACGGGAATAGCCTAAACATGTGCAGCAATTGAGGTAGGTGAACGAATTCAGAATTATAGAGTCATATAGCAAAATGAAAAACAATCGAAATAACTAAATCACCAAATTCCTATATGAATGCACAATTTGAAACTTGGACTACTTACGATTTCAGACCTTGAAATAGATGTTAGGAGCTTTAAATGATGTTAGGAGCTTTAATGAAAATTCCTTCAACAGAAAGCGGAACTCTCTGTCGAAAGGTGCTAGAATTGCCAGATTTGGAGGATATTCGGACTTTTTATGCTCAAATATCTGGAGACATCTTTGCCTTGAAAGGGGACCGTTTAAATGCAGACAAAGAGAGAATTAAAAAAAAATTAGCAGTGGGACAAGAGGGTTTGCCTTTTTTCGCCATTTTCCTAGCATGGATATGAAACGTGATTTTTACACAGTAGTTGGATCACCAGATTTAGACAATCTGTAGACGTTTTATGGTCGAACATATGGAGCTGTATTTGCGCGGGATGGGGATCGATAATGTGAGGACGAATGCAAAAATTCACACAAACAGCAAGCAGTCTGAGAAGAACTCGTCTTCTTACTCCCATATTTCCCTTAACACCAAGGACGA